GCCGCCCGGAAGGGAATCATTTGGTCCGGCCGCGCCTCAGCCACAGGAGACTTTCTCTCGCCCGCCCGCGCAGCTTCGCCTCGCCCGCGCGCGCGGCACGCACGAACACGAAACCGAAATCGATTTCCCGGTAGGGGGGCTCTCCGTTCCACTTCGATCTCACCCCCTCACCTCCGACGACGAGTTGTTGGCGGCCATGGGGGTGGGGGTGGGGGATTGGGGGGGGGGGCGTTGTGAACCACTTTCAAGATGCATCGTCGCTCCTCGCGGGGGCGAAGAACAACATTTCATGGTTTGACATCGATTGTTGTGTAAATTTGTGCAGTTGGAGGAGTTCTTCAGCCATGCGGAGAAAAGTCAAACCTTGGGGTGGCGCATCGACGACGCTGCCTTGGATCGTATCAAATAGTGAGTTCGCCTGAATACATGGGCTGCCGAGTCTAACAGTTTCGCACCTGATGTAGAGACATGGGGTAGCGCGCGGTCTTCTGGCTCTGCGCGGCCCGATGCGCGCGCGCCACTTCGGCGCGGCGCCAGGCGTTCGCGGGGCAGGAAAGCCTCGCGCAGGTGCCAAATCCAAACCAGAACTCCCTTGTACGAGTTCTGGTTTGGATTTCGCAAGCCGTTTGCAAGCCATGGGTGGGTCCTCGCAGAGCCTTTGCAGGCCGTTAACGGGCCATGGTGGGCCTTGGCAGGCCTCAGCAAGGCTTGACAAGCCTTAGCGAAGCCGCAAGACGTTGTTATGGCTTGCTAAGGCTTGTTAAGGCTTGTTAAGAAAGAGTTGCTAAGCCGCATTGCAGGGCCGCCCGGCGGCCCCGCGGGCTCCGGCGCCGCAAAGCGAGGGCGGCGGGGGGGGCGGGCGCCCGCGAGGCAGACGAGGCGGCGGGGGAGGAGAAGGACGACGAGGGCGAGGACGAGCAGGAGGAGGAGGGGGGGGCGGAGGGGTGGCCGCGCGGCAGACGAGGCGGAGGGAGAGGAGGGGGAGGAGGAGGACGGGGGCGGAGGAGGAGGGGGGGGGGAGGAGGGACGAGGGAGAGAAGGGGGAAGAGGCGGGGGGGGAAGGGGGGGGCGAGAGATGGGCGAGAAGGAGGGCGAGGGGGGAGGAGGAGGGCGATGGGGAAACGAGGACGAGTCGGGACAAGTGGGCGATGAATGGAAAGGGGGGGGGGGCGAGGAGGAGGGCGAGATTGCCGAAGGTTGCCGAATGCTTTCTTTCGAGTGTCATCCGTGGGTCTTGCGCAGGACGTCGGCCGAAGATTGCTCGAGAAGCTCTTCCGCCTGGATCCCCCTCCTCTTCCTCCTCCTCGTCCTCCTCCCCCCCCCCTCCCCCTCCTCCGTCCGCGCGTCCTCCTCCTCCTTCGCCCCCTCGTCATCTCGCGCCCCCTCCTCCTACCTCGTCTGCCTCGTCGCCCCTCCCCCCCCTCCCTCTTCTCCTCCTTCTCCCTTCGTTCTGCTTTTCGTATTCCTCTCTTCCTTTTGTCCTTCTCGTCGTCGTTCTCTTCTTCCTCCTCCTCCCCTTCTCCCTTCCCCCTCCCCTCTTCGTTTTCCTTGTTCTCCTCCCTCCTCCTTCTTCCTCCCCTTCCCCCTCCTCCTTTTCCTCCTCCTCCTCCTGTCCTCGCCCCCCCCCTCCCCCCTCCTCCCCGCCCCCCCCACCCCCCCCCCCCCCCCCCCCCCCCCCACCCCCCCCCCCACGTCCCGTTTCCTCCTTTCCAAACTTCTCCTTCCCCCCCCTCCTCCTCCGGACTCCGACTCCTACTCCGATCTCCGACTCCGATTTCACTCCGACTCCGACTCCGACTCCGCCCCCCTCCTCCTCTCTTCCTCCTCCTTCTTCCTCTCCGCCTTCTCCGCGCCCGCCTCCTCTCCTCCGACTCCGACTCCGACGCCGACGCCGACGCCGACGTCGACGCCGACGCCGACGCCGACCCTTCCTCCCACGACTCCTCCTCCGCCTCCTCTTGGCGCCCCTCCTCCTGTTTCCTCGTTCCTGTCTCCTCTCTCCTCCTCCGCTTCCTCGTCCTCGTCGTCGTCGTCCTCCTCCTCCTCTCCTCGTTCTCGTCCTCCTCGTCCTCGTCCTCCTCCCCCTTCTCCTCCTCCTCCTCGTCCTCCTCCTCCTTCTCCTCCTCCTCCTCCGGCTCCGAGTCCGACTCCGACTTGGGCAGCGACTGCACTCTTCTGCGTCCTCCTGCTCCAGTTTCCTGTCTCCTCTCTCCTCTTTCCTCCTCCTCTTCCTCCTCCTCGTCCTACTCGTCCTCCTCCTCATCCTCCTCATCCTCCTCGTCGTCGTCCTCCTCCTCTCCCGACTCCAGCTCTGGCTCCTCTTCCAACTCCGACTCCGACTGCGACTGCGACTCCCGCTCCGACTCTTCCAAGTGTGGGGCAGTGAACCTGTTGGAGTCATCTGGGGCCGTTTTGGGGTGCGCCCAAGGCCTGCGATAGGATCCAAGAGGCCCCAAGAGGACCCCAAGAAGCCCCCAAGAGGCCCCAGGGGGCCCCCAAGAGCCCCCAATAGGCCCCCAAGAGGGCCCCAAGGAGCTCCCAAGAGACCCCCAGAGGCTTCAAACCTGCCTCCCAGAGGCCCCACAGACGCCAACCACGAGATCCCAACCAACATCCATGGGGCCTCCGATCCACCACCCAGGCGCGATGGCGGACTTGGCCGAAGGCCACTAGATATTTGGACAGGTGGAAGCACTTCGCAAGAATACTGGAACCTTTCCCGCCATCGCGCGCCCCGTCTGGACGATGCGCGCCCCACGTTCGGATGATGAGAGAAGCTGGTTAGCGGCGGCGCAACGTCAGTCTGCCCTGTCAGAACAAGCTCGCCCCCCACCCGTTCCAGGAAGCAGCGGGAAACAAAAGGCGAAACGGGGTGCCACGCGAACATCGCACGTGCTTCCAAGGTCCTGACATGCACCGTCGAAACGGCTGCAACTTCCGAAGTTTCTGAGCACGTCAGCGCGTGAGCTCTGATACTCTAGTCCGCATGTCAAACTGTCATCCCAGCCCATGGGTTCGCTACTGCCTGGTGGGGTTCGGTGCTGTCTGGCGGGGTTCGCTACTAGCTGTCTGGTGGGGTTCGCTAAGACCGCCCCACTGCGAACCGCGAGCGAAGCGCAGGAGACGGAACGCTGAATCTACACAGACCCAAGGCCCTAGATCGCACCCCAAGAAGGCTCGAGATAACCCCAACAGGCTCACAATGCCCCCACCACGGAAGACCCCCCCCCCCACAGATGGGAGGTGGGGAGAGGTTAGTTGGGAAGAAGGCGTGCTCCAAAGCGGCCTGGGGGCGGAGGGCTCAATTTTTCGCGCTCGGGGGTCGCGACCCTCGACCCTCGCGGGGGGCGCCCAAAAAAGGGCCCCCCAAAGTCGCGCGGGAAGCTGCAGGACCCCGCCAGGGCCGTGCGACAAACCCAAAAAGATTTGGGATTTTGGGCTCTGGGCACCTGAATGATTCCTCAGGAACGAGGATTGAGGCTCGGGAGATCAGTGAAGGACCTGAGGGCGCGCCCACTCCGCGCCGCGCGTCCACCTGTGCGCATATCCATAGCAATTCAAGTTTCACGCCGCGCGGAAATCACCCTGAACCCTTTAATCCGCCAACCACTCTTTCCGGCATTCCCTTCGCCCCATGACCCCCCCTCCTCCCTTGGCCCCTCTCATCCATGAACCTCTGCCCCCCTGAACATGTTCATCTCTTCATCCTTTTATGCGTGCTTCCTTAAAGCCGTGAATCCGCTCGCCCCCTTAGCCCCCGACCCCTCGATCTTTTCAGCGCGTAATTCCTGAATCTCTTAACCTCTCACCCCTGCCCCCCCCTCCCCCCTTTCCTCACCCCTAATCCTTTCATCCATGGATCTTTCCCCCCCTGGATGCATTCGCCCCCCTAGTCCTTTTTATACCTGCTCCCCTAAACCCGCGAATCCGTTAATTCCCCAATCTTTGCGCCCCTTGCCTCGTTATTCGCCGGCCCCTTGACCCCTGGGTCTCTTGATTTCTTGAGCCCTGAACCCATCAATTCCGAAATCCCTGTCCAAGGCCGACGGGGAATCAATGGCATCTGCCTTTGGGGGTCCTCTTGGTGGGGCTCTTGGATGCCCTTGGGGCGTCTTGGGGGCTTCGATTGCGGGGGGGGGGGGGGGGGGGGGGGGGGCGGGGGGGGGGGGCTGGGGCCGCTCAGGGGCCATGTCGGGGACCTCTCCAGCAGCGCGTTGCAGTCTTCAACGCGGCTTCCTCGCAAGCGCACTCCTTCCTGGCGCGCGCTTCGCGCGCAGGCTTCGCAGTCGCGCGATTCGCGCGCGCAGGCCCCCCCATGACAAACCTCTCAGACGCGCGCCTGCTCGAGCTATCGTCGCCAGCGCACTGGCGGCTCAAGACGCGGCGAGCCTCCTCTTGACGGGCAGCGGCCAGCATTGGGGCCCGAACAGCCGGACCGCCAATGGGGCCGAACAAGGCTGGGGCCAAGAGGCAGGCTGTGAAGAACCCCGCGGGAGACCAACTGAAGGCGGCGGTCGAGGGCTTGGAGATGGCGCCCGCTGAGCGCCAGCAAGCCGTCGCCGCGCTCGCGGGATTCGGCGTGGGTGGAGGCGGGGGCCGCGAGGACATGCTGAAGCTGTACGTTGGCTTGCGGAGCTTGGAGGGCCCGAGCGACACTGGGGAGGGCCGCATTGATAAAAAAACGGCTGGAGTCTTGGAAGCAGCGGTTGGAGATCAGCGTGTCTCGGAGGAGCATATTCCACCTCGTTCCGAAAATGGCGAAGCCGAGCCTGCCAGCCGACGTGGAGAAGAAGAAGCTCGGCGCGGCGGCGCTGCAGTATCTTGTTGACTCGAGCGAGGTTGAATTCCCGAGGGGCATCGTGCCCGAGGACCCCCGCATGTAAAACTATAGCAAAGAGGCCCGCAGGGGAACCAGACTTTACGCATGCAAACCAGAACCCGCATAGGCAAGTTCTGGTTTGGTTGTTGCAGAACCCTAACCCAATTCTGTTTCTGCGAAGGATGCGTGGGTTGTCAGCGGCAGCTTTCCCAAGTTCGACCTCGGGCCCGTGGTGGGGGAGGTCGCGCTGACCCTGGGGAGGCCTTGGAAGGCCCCGAAGGGAGGCGCGCCACTTGCGCTCGCAGGGCACGCGCCGTCAGGAGCCCTGGCGATCATGGATGCGGTGCCGACCCCCGATAGCAAGGCCCCAGCCGAGCTGGCTGTGGAGGAGGTCGCGCCTCTGAAGGTCAACGCTGGCGCGGGCGCCGCAGGGGCGCGCCCGACTGTGCACCCTGCGGGTCCGACTGTGCAGGACCAGGAGGGCGCGGCTGTCGATGAGATGCTGAAAGCGGCGAAGGATGCCGTGCATGACCGCCGTCTCTTCTCGCCCGCGAAGCTGCTCTCGCCCGAGTACATGGACTTCTGGATCGACCAATTCCTGGACCATGTTTCCCGCGCGAAGAAGACTCGCGGGAGTTTGTCGGAGCAGGAGTTCACCGCGAGTCTAGGGCCACCCTGCAGCAGGTTCCCCCCCGACATTGTCACGTGGCTTTTGCAGGAGGATGAGTGGGTGCCAGTCCAGGGTTTCGCCGAGAACGTGCAGGCCCGCGTCCAAGACTTCAGGTACCTGGTCCCGCCTCTGCTCCAGGTCATCATGGCGGAAGAGGGAGATCTTGCTGGCCCGGAGTCGGTGAAGCAGCTCGGGGGGCTCCAGTATCGCTCCGCGCTCTTCCTGTCGAAGATGCACCGCGCCTGCAAGGCGCGCGGCAGGTCGAGGAAGTGCGAGCGCATCCTTGCCGACGGCAAACCATTAGCGGAGAAAGGCGTCGCCGCAATGAAGGCGTTGTTGGGGGGGGGCGCCCGTGGGTGGCGAGAGCGCGAGGGGCCATCTCGAGTTTGCCGTGGAGGTCTTGGGGGCCCATGCGGACGAGATGTCGCGCCTGGCGTGGATCGCCGAGGACTCCTCGCGTATCGAGTTGCTGTCCGACTGGGAACCGAACCACCCATGGTGCTGCGTGGGGCCGCTCGTCGGGGGCGCCGCGCAGTTGAAGAGCGCCCCGCGGGTGGCAGTCGCGAAGGCGGCGGAGTTTTTCCGCGAGTGCGCCGAGCTGATCGACCACGTCCCCAACAGGGCGTGCAAGGATCTGCGGAAGGATTATCGAAGGATCAAGGCAAGGGGGCGGCAAATCCAATGCACGAGCCCGCGCGCCGAGTTCTGGTTTGAGTTCGTCGCTCGCAGCGAACTCTGCGAGCGCGGACTCGCGCCAGAAAGGCGTCGGGGTTTTCGGATTTGCCATTCGACGCCCCGCGAGGGCCACTTGTCCGATGCGTGCGTGGGCCGCATGTGGGCGGAAATCCGCAGGGTCCGCATGGGCGCGGCCTTTTCGGGGGTGCCAGAGAACTTCCCCGACGCGTTCAGGACCGCTGGGTGGCTTGATTCCGACCTCCGGGGCCTCGGCGCCATGGCTCGTCAATGCCGGAGCAAGGGCGCGCGACTGGGCGCCGCGTTGGCGCAGAAGTGCGCGGGGGTCGAGGCCGTCTCCGCCGTGGGCATGCCGACGGGCGAGGATGGTTCCGACGCGGCCAGCGGCGAGCCCGCCGCTAAGAAGGCACATGCAGGGGCGGCGGCGCTGCCAGGGCCGCCCGCCGTCGTGGCGCCCGCGGGCTCTGGCGGCGCCGGCAAGCCGAGCGCGGCGCAGGGGGGGTCCGCTCCCGCAGCTGCGCCTGGCGAAGCGGGGGCGAGCGGCGGCGGCGGCGCGAGCGAGGCGGTCGCCGCGGGGCCGCCGCCCGTGGCGGCAGAGGCGGGGCCGCCGCCCGCGGCGGCAGGGGCGGTCGCCGCGGGGGCGCCGCCCGAGGCTGCAGAGGGGGCCCCGGCAGAATCGAGGGCCCGCGCTGTGGAGGCGCTGGCCCCCGTTGTGGCGGCCCCGACAGAGCCGCCTGCCCTGGCGACGGCCGTTGGCGTCTTCGCGGGGCCGGGCAAAGGCTGGGCGTGCCCGCCTCAGACCGCCGCGTCGGCCGCCGGCGACGCGGTCGCGGGGGGGGGCCGCGGCGGGCGGGCCAGGCTGCGACGACGCAGCGCCGACCTCCCTGAAGGTCGGCGACCTGGTGATCACAGGGTTCGCCCGCTACAAGGAGTTGTACGACGGGAAGAAGGGCAGGATCACGGAACAGCTTTCCCGCGAGTGCAAGGTTTAGATATTAGGCGGCCTTGCCAAGACCGAAGATCCGAAGAAGTTCCCCTTCCGCGATGCGAGGCCGCGCGTCGACCCCTTCGAGGCCAGCGAGCGCTCGAGCGCCGCAGCGTCATCGGCCGCGCCGCCGGGGAAGCGCCCGCGCATCGAGGACGAGGCCGATGACATGTTTGGGCCTCTGGGTAAGTGAGCGGCGGCTGGGGGCGCGTGGCGGCGCGTTCGGCCTGGCTGGTCGCGCGAGGGCTCGCCTCGCCGCGTGCGCCGCGGTGCGTGCATTCTTCGCAGGCGCTGTTGCCCCCTCAGTTGGGCGCGCTGTGTTTGCTCGTGTTGTCTGAGATTTTAGACGGGGGGCGCCGCGCCGCTGTCGCGTCGCAAGGCAGTGGCGCTTGGAGCCTTGGGAACCCATAGAGACATCGGGCGGCCAGATGGGGTTCGCTCGCCAGTGCTCCAGCTGCGAGGAAAAACGCGCGGGCTTGATCGTCCTCGACAGCGGAGTCTTGCTCCCATGGGCTCTCCGCGAGCGTCTCTGCCATGGGGCGCCGATGGTCATGGGGCCCCCCAAAATATTCTTCCTTCTCGTCGCCGCGATGCCCATCGCCAGCATCATCGAAACCATCGCCCCCATCCAGCCCCATCGCCATTCACAAACCCCGCGCGCAATGATCATCGGCATCCATTCCAGAATTGTGCTTGTGAAATTCTGGTTTGACTTTGGGCTCGCGCTTGCGCGCCCCGCGCGCTGCGGTGATCATGGGCGCAGTCTTGCCAAGGCTTACGTTATGCCCTTCGGCCAAATCCGCCACCGTGCCTGGGCGTCGGATCGGAGGCCTCATGGATGTTGGTTGGGATCTCGTGGTTGGGAGTCTTTGGGGCTTCTGGGAGGCAGGTTTGAAGCCTCTGGGGGGCCCCCCGGGACCTTCTTGGGGGCTTCCTGGGGCTTCTTGGGGGCCTCTGGGGGCGGGGGGCTCAATTTCTCGTGTTCGAGGGCCGCGATCCTCGCGAGGGGTGCCAGAGCATTGGCCTTCCCACAGTCGCGCGAGAAGCTGCGCCAATCCCAGGGGCGCGGCGCCGAGGCCAGGACGATTTGGCAATTTTGGTTTTGGCCCCTTTAAAGAAATCTTTAGGACTGAGGACTGAGGCTCAGGGGATGAGGCATGGGGGTCCTCGCCCGGTCCTCTGCCTCCTCGTCACCGCCATGCCTATCGCCGTGATCATCGCAGTCGTCACCCCCCATCCAGCCCCATCACCATTCACAATCCCCGCGCGCAATGATCATCGCAATGCGGGCGCGCGTGCCCGCGCGGCATCCATTCCAGAATTGTGCCTGTGATGTTCTGGTTTGACTTTGGGCTCGCGCTTGCGCGCCCCGTGCGCTTCGGTGATCATGGGCGCGGTCTCGCCAAGGCTTATCGTGGCTTAACAAGGCTTACCAAGGCTACTCCGGGCCGCTGCAACCTTCCATTGCTGCCCATTAAATTGTGTTTATGGTGTGTTTCTGGGAAACTCGATTGCGGAATCCTTCCGGCACCGGAGGTTTTGGAAGGATTTCGGCTTGCGCGCGCGACGACGCGCGCGCGAACTTTGCCCCATTTGTTGCAAGGGACTCGTGACGAAGTCCTATGTTAGAGCAAAACATGTCCCCGCGTTTTTTGTTTTTAATATATATATATATATATATATATTATGACTATTTATTATTATTTATTATTATTATTATTATTATATTATATGTTATATATATGTATATATATATATATATATATATATATAAAGGGGGCCTCAGGAGGGGCGACGCCGCCCCCCTGGGATAGTGTAAATTCATAGTTAGCATGGACACGTGGTCAGAATCACACATGATCTACATGCCCGAAAGGGGGGCGGATAACGCCGGGGGGGGGGGGGGGGTAGAGTCTATTCTTTTTTCAGGATTAATTCTGTTCGCAGTGAGTTGTCTACTCCAATGCTCGCGCAAACACCCCGCCCGCCCGCCCGCAACTTGGTTTGCAAAATCTCTTGAGACCGTGGCGGTGGGTGCCACGTTGCACTTGGCAACGACAGCGGCGCCGACGACGACGGCGACAACGACGACGACGCCGCCGACAACGACTACGACGACACCGACGGCGTCTCCTACGACTTCGACGACGCCGACAACGGCGACGACGACGCCGACGACGACGACGCCGACGCCGTCGACGACGACGGCGCTGACAACGGCGACGACGATGACGACGCCGACGACGACAACGACGACGCCGACGACGACGACGACGTCAACGACGCCGACGACGACGACGACGGCGGCGACGACGACGACGCCGACGTCGACGACGACGAAGACGACGACGGCGCCGACGCCGACAACGACGAAGACGACGACGTCGCCGACGAAGACGACGACGAGGGAGGAGGGAGGAGGACGACGGCGACAACGACGACAACGACGACAACGACGAGGGAGGAGGGAGGACGGCGACGCCGCGAACGATGAAGAAGGAAGGACGGCGACGCCGACGACGACAACGACGAGGAAGGAGGGGAGACGACGACGACAACGACGACGACGACGACGACGACGACGGCGACGAAATAGGAGGAACGACGACGAGACGCCGACGACGGGCGACGACGACGACGAGGGAGGAGGAGGAAGGGCGACCACGGCGACAACGACGACGGAAACGACCGCGACGCCAAAGAGGACGACGACGAAGAACACGAGGAGAGACAGGGGGCGACGTAGGCGACGACGACGATGACGCGAGAGGAGGGAGGACGGCGACGACGACGACGACGACGACGCAAGAGCGCGCGCGCACGCTTTTGTTGACAGGCCGTGTTGCGAAACTTCTTGTTTTTGCAAGTTGCGTGGGCGCGCGACGCTGCAATCCTTCCGAAGCCGATGGGTTTTGAAGGTTTTCGGCGCGCGCGCGCGACGACGCGCGCGTCTGGAATTCGTCGTATTTCTTTGCAGAGGGTTCGCGACGGCACGCGCGCAAGGGCGTTCGACAGATTTCGACGTGCGCGCGCGCGAAGCCAGTTTGTTAGCATGTCGTGAAAATCCGGAAAACCGATGGTTTGCTCAAGATTTCGCAAGAGTTGTTTTGGTAATAAATATAATTAATGTTTTGATTTTTTTGGTTAGACAAAAATGTAGTTTTAATTTTTACGTACGCAAATATTTGCATTCGAAGATCGATTGCGAACTTCTCCCGGCACCCAAGGTTTTTGAGGGATTTCGGCGCGCGCGCGACGACGCGCGCGTGTGCATTTTTTATATAACAAATATTTGTTTCTCTCCTCTTCCCTCTCTTTCCAAGGGATTCGTGAGCAAGTTTTATGTTGGAGCGAGAAATGCCCCCGCGTATTGTTTTTTTTTTTTACAAGGGGGCCTGAGGGGGGGCGATGCCGGCCCCCCTGGGATAGTGTAAGTTCATATTTAGGATGGACATGTGGTCCGAATCATATTTGATTTACATGCCCGAAAAGGGGGGCGGTTGACGCCGGGGGGGGGGGAGTTCATTCTCTCTATAGAAAGGATAATGCACCTTGCCAAAATTGAAGTTGTCGACCCCACTGCTCGCGCAATCGTCCCACCCGGAGTCGGCTGGTGCATTTCTGCTGCCGCGCTTGCCCGCGCATGCTCGCGCGCGCAGCGGCTAGGTAGTTTGGCGCGACCGATGTGGCCGCGGCGGCGCTGGCCGCTGGGCGCACCCCAGCGGGCGCTTCAGTGCGAGTCGGCGACTTGGGCGGGCGCGGTATCATGACAACGTCGGCAATGGTAGACGCGGTGACGATGGCAGCGATGCTGGTGACGATGGTGACAGCGACGACGACGGCGAGGCCAGCGACGGGGCCCATGTTGATCGCGCCGTCGACGACGCTCTCGCGACGGCGATGAAGGTTTTGGGTGAGTTCGACATGCGCGCCCGGCCGACGCGCGAGCGGCCCGCGCTGGTGCTATGTGACGCGGATCGTGCCCCTCCCTAGCACGCGCGCAAGGGCGTTCGAAAGATTTCGGCGCGCGGTGCGAGGGGCCAGCTTGGCAGAGTTCCATGGGCAGTTTGAAAAACCAAATTTGCAAGAGCGCAAACGAAGGATTTCTTGAAAACTGATGTTGTGAAGCTATGTGTTTCTGATGTGGTTCCGGAGCGCTCGGTCTCGACATCTTTGCGCACCCGAATGTTTTGACGGATTGCGGCGCGCGCGCGACGACGCGCGCGCGTGCAATTCGCGACGTTTTGCGCAGGGGGTTCTTGCGACGGCACGCGCGCAGCGGCTATCGAACGATTGCCGCATGCGCGCGCGCGAAACGCCCACTTGGTGGCAATGTGTTTTTCTCAAGGAATCGCGAGAGCAGAAGTTTGTCTGCGTGTTGCAATGCAATGTTTTTGGCATGTTTTCGGGGCGCCCGATTTTGACATCATTACAAGGCCTCGGGCTTGTTTCGACCATGTCGGCATGCGCTCGCGACGACGCGCGCGCGTGCACTTCTTCGCATGTGGTGTAGGGGGGGTTGTTGTTGGTAAACGAGTGTGCGCGCGTAATATTTGTTGCAGAGGATGCGTGGAGGCGGATGCCGGCCTGCCTGGGATGGTCTGAGTTCATATTGAGGATGGGCGACGGGGAAGAGTCACATGTAGCTTGCAACGCGGGAAGCTGAGTCGTGACTTCCCCAGGGGGGGGGGGGGGGCAGGGGGGCGTGACGCTGACGACGTTTCCAACGACACCGACGACAACGGCAACGTCGACGACAACGACGACGACGACGACAACGACGACGGCGACGCT